AGGAGCAGCAGCCGCCCGCCGCCCCCCTGGGCTCCCCACAGCGGCCCAGGCTCGGAGGAGGCAGCTCGGGGGGGCCTGGACTCCCCCGGAGCGGGGCTGCGCGTCGGGGCGGCGTGGGAGCCGCGCGAACGGGAGGCGGAAGGGATCAGCAGGACCTCGACTTTCAAACATCCCCAGCGCCTTCCAGGGGCCTCCATGATGTTTATTTAAAAAAAAAAAAAAAAAAGAAAAGGAAAAAAAAAGTGTTGGTTTTATCTACAAACATTTCTCCTTGTGACCCATTTCTGAACAGCCATGAATAGCCCCCCTGTTTGGTACAGTCGTCTGTGTATATGTGGGGGAAGGGAAAGGGCTTTTATTTTCTTTCTCTAGGTTGGGTTTTTTTTCATCCTCTTCTCCTTTTTCGTTGTTTGCTCAGCGAGTGTTGGGTTGCAGAGAAACACGGCTGGGGTTAGATTTTTTGCACTGAACTCTGTCTTAGGCGGCAGTGCCAAAACACAACTTCATATGAAAGTGCATAGATTTGGAGGAAGAAAATTAATTCCAGCTGCTCTGGGTGCTCCAGACATTGTGTCAGACTCTGGAGGGCAGCCAGCTCACAGACCATAAACTCCAGTTTAGGAAAAGAGGTTTGAGCTTGGATTATATTTTTTTTTTGTCAAGAGGTTTTGTTTCTGTTTTGTAATTTGGGGCATGTCAAAGTTAAGACATTTTGTTAACCTGGAAGTATTTAAATTAAAGTAATTTACAAATGGAACGGTATGTCATCTTTAAGGTGGGGGAAAGGGAGAGAAGAAGTAAAACCTGAAATTAATTTGTTATCTGGGTGTTGAATTTCTCCCTCATAAATGTGTGTAAAGTGGTGCGATCTAAATCCCTCTTTATTATTCCTTAACCTTTCCCTGCAAAGCGGCTCTTGGGTAGATGAATTGTTTTGCTTTTCCCAGGCTCATCTTGCACACATACAAAAAATCTGTTTATGGGCTTTGGCTCAACGTTGCTTCGTTTCTTCTTCTCCCTCCTTTGCTGAGAGCTGGTGACTTGAAAGAAAGAGGTGATTTGAAAATGATTCAAGTGGGATGTGTCTCTTCATAAGCTTACTGCATCTAAAATGTCTCCCTGAAAACAGCAAAGACTAAATATCTTTCTGCCTTTATAAAAAGGCAAGGCAAAAAACCTGCAGCCATTCAAGCCGCCATCTGTGGCACCAGAAATGTGGTTGTGCACATCCTGGAGGGGCCACATTTTATTTCGCACCTTTCCTGGCAATAAGAATTGTGGTGGCAAATTTTTCTTTAATTTAATAGATTGTCATCTGCTGGACTGAAGCCATCGGCTCCATTCACAGGGTCACCAAGCCTCTTTAGAAGTAACAACTTGCTTTTCATCAGCTTGAATCCTATTCAAATATGCTTTATGGGCATGACTTAAAATATTGGCAGAGTATGAATGCCTGAGATTTATGTGTCTGAGTGCAGAAAATCTTGGTATTGGATATTGAAGACCCGTTCAGGATGGTGGATTATCACAGACTTAGCTGTTTATGTTTGCCTTTGCAACCTATTTGCCATTGGTTTTTGTTTCTTGACTCTGCCAGGCCGCCTTTTAAAATGGGAGTTGGCTGCTGATTATTTTTCAGGTGAATGAGGCTAATGAAAACGTTTTCCTAATTTGTCCAGTCTTCATCACAGTCAGAAGATGGCAAATGTCTGCAGCTGGCTCAGTGAGCTGCTTACTGTAATGCTGGCTCCACTGCCTCCATCCCCTTTTGTGTGATGGCAGATGCTGGGGATGGATTAAGGAGGGGGATATTGAAAAGTAATGTCTTTCATGGACTCTTACATTGGATACGGGCCATATGCTTCAGTGAAGTTGCAACACCCTGTGTCAATCATGATCTGGCTCTAGACCATTGCATTGCAGTATTTCTCCCACTATATTGTTTCCTCGTCGGCTGAACTGTGGTGACCGAAACCATTCGGGACAAATCCTGGCTCTTGAGGGCTGCCACTGTCTTCTGCGGGTGAAGTGTTCCTTGTAGGCGTCTCATTTGTTCTGCCTTGAAAACCTCTAGTAAATCAGAAGGCATCTGATATTTGCAACCAACCCAATTTGCTGTAATGCCCATTACCACTTTCCTGCCAGAATCTCTGTCTAGCCTGACTCCTGGCTTTTTTTTTTTTTTTTTAATTATACACAACTAATGCTGTGGGATCCCACACACAAGAAGATGATGGCATTTTCAGGGAGTGCTGTTGAGAGCGCCTAGGGCTCTTCCACTTAACCCCCCCCTGATTTCTGCTGAAACCCCACATCCTTATTATTTTTGTCCAAACCCTTGGGAATACTTGCCTAAAAACAGCATGTATGTATCTTGAGTCACATCTGCCGGGTACTCAGCACTGCATGTGAGAAATTATCTGCCTTTTCTGTAGCATCTTAATTGTTTTATCAGCTTCTTTAGCAACTAACAGCTATTGCAGAATAACAGGGGAAGGAGGGGAAATGAGCAGATTAACAACTGAATATGGATAGTGGCAAATGCCCCTTTTCTTCTGTGTTCATCAACTTATTCATAGCAACGAGTGTTTTCCAACAGGGATCACATTTCTTAATGAGCCTAGGGTGCTCAAAGTAGTGCAGTATATAAAGCCTACTGCCATCTAACTCACCCTTTCATATTCAGGGCTCTTAGGAAACTGAGAGCACCTACCACTGCTATATGCAACATCTGGAGACCTGGGTTGTGAGACACCCGTTGGTGGTCCTTACGCTACAGAAAGCACCACCTGTGCTCATGGGTGGCTTATTTTTTTCTACAGAGCATCCAGTGGTAGGGACTTTTTCGCTGTGGTCAGAGATATTCTGGAGAAGTATTCTGTAAGGGTGCCCTTGGAGCTCATTTTCCAAATGGTCCCAGTGACCTAATGTTGTCTTCAGCCCCTGGGTAAATCTGCATTTGCTTGTCTCAGAGCAATCTTGTTCCTCTTCTGCTAAACAGGAATTTAGAAGGTAGAGCTTACCATAGCCTTACCTTGCTTTCAATATACACTTTCAAACAAAATGAAAAGAGAAGAGAGGTAAAACCTTGCAGATTTATTTGTATTTGATTACAAAATGGCTTCCTTTTTTCATTTTAGACACTGAATAATATTTCTAAAACAACAAAAAAATTCTTAGACTACACAAGTTTTGGCTTCATAAAGGCTTAATCACCTTCCCAACCTGGGATCTCATCCAGCTGTACCACTGCCTTCAGGTAAATCATGTTGCTGGTTCCTCCCTCGGGTCCTTCTGCCTATAATGCAGACACTGGCTTTTTTTACTGGCTTTTGAGATGTATGGCATTTATTGTACAGGCAAAGTCATCTGTCTCTCTACTTTTGTCTCTCATTTAAGGAAAAGGGAAGGTGGGAAGGAAGAGAAGGAAAAGTACCTGGCTGAAATAAATACATTTTCCTCTGGCATGAGCAGAGACTTTAATTGTCCCTCTTTGCCTGCCAATTCTAAATGGAACAAAAGCCTGATAACAACAGAAAAAACCACCAACAACAACAACAAAAACCCAAACACCTGTGCAGGTGGTGGGCTACTTACAAAGCTGCGTTCTTGGCTATCTCAGCCAAGGCCAGTGCTATTGCTGGCAAAGCTGCTCAATGACAGTCTGGGTACATCTGAGTAAACCATGTTCAGATGATGGTAGTCAGTAGAAAAACACTAGAGATGGTGAACAAGACAAGCAAGAGCTTAACGAGGGGCTGAAATTGCTTGGTTTAGGTCAGATGTTTCAGTTTAACAAGAGGCCACTGCAGTATGTTGCTCTGTTCCTTAATCTGTCATAATTACTTTTGGCTGTCTCTTTAAACCTACAGCTGCATTAGAATTTGTACATTGGGATAGGCTGGCAGTTTTAGACATACATGATGTGTTTCATCTAAAGAGGAAATAGAGTATTATTAGGCATGGAGCGGACAGCATTGTAATACTGGCTCAGACTTCTTGGGGTTTTTTTTGCTAGTTAGCATCCTAAGGCCAAAACGGACTACCCAGAGCCTTGAGGAGGTGATCCCCTCCAAAGCTCTGCTAAGAGTAGAATATAATGAAGAATACAGAATATAGGAGTGGTTTTGAGAGACACAACTTGTGGACTGCTCCAGATATCAGGGTTCAGATATGTATTTATTAATGAGAGGGGGAGAGGACTTGAGAGAAGTTTGTCAGTAGAGAAATAGTGACAACTGCCACATCAATCTGTGTATCTGAGACAAGACAGAAAAGCTCTGTGTCTGGAAATCCAAGTTCTGTGAGTTGGGGTTCAGTAGCCAAACTGTCTGCTGTAGGCTGGGCAAAAAGGAGGACCTTTAATTCACATGTGAAGTACTGCCTTACAGCTACACAGCAAACATTACAGTGAAAAAGAGAAAAGGATGCTGCAGCACAGGGAGTGTTGCAGTTCTTGGTCACTGCTACCTGTGCTGAGAGGTCTGCTGGAGCCAGTGACCACAGAGGCTCAATTCTGTGTCTTGCATACATGTATTTAATGCTATGTGAGATGCCTTGGGGTACCTTGGGGTTTCATATGTAACACAAGACCCATGGCAGATCTGTGCCCTTCTGGAACAACATCTAGCAGCCAGGTAAGATTCAGCTGAGCATCTCCAGATGCGTATCTTCAGGCAGCTAGTTGGTGGTTTGAGAGCCCTTTCCTATTTCACAGCAGCGCTCTGAAAAAAGTCTGTGGATATTTCAAGTGTCTGCAGATATTCTAGCTCTTCTGCAAAGTGATCTCATCTGGTTTTTAGGGACTCGATGCATCAAAACAAAGTCTGAAGTAGAAGTCACCAATTTTGCAAAATTTATTAATTGCATCTTGCAGCCTAAGCGATCTCATGAGTTTCACTTGCCCAATTAGGCTGTAAATAATTCAATATTTGGCTATCAGGGATTCCATCAATATTAGGCAGGTTTTTTTTTTCTTTTTTATGTGAGGCAATAAATATTTCATAGATGATCTCACGGACACAGTTTCTGGGATGACATGGGACTTGCTTGCAGCAGAACAGAGCAGGGAGATGACCCTGCATGTGCTGGATCCCACAACAGGGAGAGATGAGGAGAAGCAGCAACACGGAGGTATGCTCTGGTCTGGGGGCTTTCTCCCACCACTGTGGCAAATCCCTTCAGCTCCAAGAAGTCATACATAAGTGGCCAGCAGGTCAGAAAGGCCAAGACTTCCTAAGCAAGGAGAAACATGCGGGAGCTGCCTTGCTTCTGTGTGCAGTGCCAAAGGGAGGGTGATGGGGGAGGAAGGCTCACACTCAGCATGTGAGACCTGCCAGGTCAGTAAGCACAGGGGTTAGTGCTCACACCAGTGATGGCAATGTCCAGCAGTGCTGAGTACGGAGTAGAGACAGGCAAAATCACCTAACCCTTCCGGCAGTTTTAGGACAGCTTTTTTAATTTCTTTTGAATTGAGGGCTCCATTTGCCAAATCCTGGGAGACCAACAACATCATGCCAAGCCCAACACAGCAGTCTGACTTGCCGCAAGTGTAACTACTTCTCTGGTTTCCATCCCTCCTCTCATGTCTCTTCTACAGACCAGGGCATGTACAACATAGTCTGAGAGCTCAGACTGGGCATGTGGTCGGATCCAGGAGCCAAAGAGGAGTGACCCAGACAAAATCCTGGATTTGCTTAATAAGAGAGCAGGAACAAGAGGAGGAAGAAGGAGCTTTGTGAATTGGGAGCCTGTTCTATAAAGCCAAATCCTGTAAATCTGGGTAAGAGACATTGTACGGTCTGTGATTAA